CCACAATGCCCGGCTATTTTTTGGTTGCAGCCATCATTGTTATTTGGCAGGCTGAGCTGGATTCAAACCTGCCACCTTAGGTGTATGTGGCTGGTGCCTTAGCCACTTGAGCCACAGGCGCCGAGCCATAAAGAGAAATTCAATAAATTGTAGTACAGTGAAACAACATGTGGGGGAACCCCTAATATGGTTTGTCTTTACAGAAGAGAAGTGAGGGATGCCTGAAGGATAGGGATGCGGGGGGAAAAGCCCCTGCCCTTTGGTGTCCTCTTTTACCAGACTATTCAATCCTCAAGACGTTAGGTGGGGTGAGCAGAAGACAGACTGCTGGGGTTTGATTGGAGGAGCCTCGGGCCCACTGCAGGGTGAGGAGGTCATGTGCAGGGGGTGTGTGTGTGTGCACGTATGCTCCCACACACTGCTACAGGAAGGAGGAGGTCTTGGGGAGTGTGGCGTGGCCTGATGTGAGGAGTTGGAGCCCAAGCAAAATGGGTAGAGTTTCTGAATCTTCTGAATCATGGTCCCTACACGGTGTATCAAGCTCAGGAAGAGTGAAGTCCAGTGTGAATGGGGCAGGAAGAGTACAGCCTGATTAAAGGTGTCAGAGTCCGGGCGGGGGGGGGGGGCTTTGGAATGGGAGTGCTGCCTGGTACAAGAAGTCAAAGGTCCAAGCACAGTAAGGAGGGCATGATGAACAGGGGCAGTGTAGCACGAAGTGGAAGAGCCAGGCAGAAAAGCAAGGGTGTCCACGTGAAGAGGAGGACATGGGGATGGGATCCCGAGCAGGGTGAGCAGGGTCCGTGTGGGAGTGTGCCACCTCCATCCCAACCATGGTGAAAGGTGCTTGTGCAAGGGGTAGCCTGGCACAGAGGTCAAAGCCTGCACAAAGCATCTGTATGGCAATGCAGCTTAGCACTGCTGTCTGAGTTGAGACTACAGACACCTGGCCTGGACTATCTTGTGCCAGGAAGCAAGGGCATATGCAAAGAATGAAGAGGTCAAAAGAATACAGAAGCCAGCCTGAAGGGGCTCCCATCAGACAAATGGAAAATCTGAGGTCCCAGTAAGAACAGTAATAACCTATTGAATAAAAAAGGGAAACCATGAGTCCATACTGAGATAAAGAAATAACGGGATAAGTTAAAAGCTTGATAAGAAATGGAATATGTATTTACCTTCAATGTACTTCACAAGAGAATACTTTCTAATTACCAAGGGTACAGAAGAAGTTCAAGTGAAGAAGCTTAGAAGATACGTAATATACCGTCTTAATTAAGTTGTCAATATTGTCTCGGCGCCTGTGGCTCAAGTGGCTAAGGCGCCAGCCACATAC